CGCGCGTTCAGATACAGCTAGAATGGGAGTCCATCCACAGATATAAGGACAGATGGACTCCCATTCTAGCTGTATCTGAAGGAGCGAGCAGCGACTCACGGAAGCTCCTCCCCGGCCACAAATGTTGTTTGTCTTTAAGGTGCTACCGGACTCTGGCCCTGTTCTGTTGCTGCAGACAGATTTAACACGGCTCCCCATCTTGATCTCTCCGTGGAGGTCAGACGTCACCGTGGGAGGTCTCCAGGTACCACCTGGCCATTGGCAACCCTAGGGCCAGCCAAGCCACGGGTAAGGCCGTTCCTTGAAGCCGCCTCCCGCGATCTGCAAACAGCCCCTACCGTTAAAGCCCACCTGGGATTCCACAAGGCCTCCCCCTGACTGCAGCTGCAGGAACCCTTGTGGGTTTCCTGTCACCGCTTGGCGCACACGCGCGGGGGGGGGGAGGGGGGTTGCCGATGCCAAGACGTGGTCCTCAACCCTGCAGCTGTGCTGCGGCTACTGGGTCGCAAGTGGCAGTGAAGCAGAGCAGAAGAGGCAAGGAAACGGGAGGGAGGGAGGAAATGTTTTGGTGTGTGCCCTTCCACTGGGCACACTTGCATCGGTACAATTCAGCAGATGTCACCATGATCTAAAATGTAGAGTCCAGTGGCACCTTTAAGATGAACAAAGGTTTATTCAAGGTATGAGTTTTCGTGTGCATGCACTCTCCTAAAGTGGTACTGGTTTCGAATCTAGCTCTGGCGAAGGGAGCGTTGACTCTCAGAAGCTGATAACCCGAGAAATCTCGTTGGTCTCGAAGGTATGACTGGATTCGAATCTCGCACTTCTACTGGCAGACGAACGCAGCTACAACCCTCTGTCTTGGCGCGACCCCAGAGCAGATTTTAACATGAAAGCGTTGCCCGTGCTTTCGCCATGCAGGAGTTGTATGCCTGTCCACCGCGACCATCCATTCCTGGTTCATAGGGTTGCCAACCTCCAGGTGGGGACTGGAGATCTCCCGGAATGACAACAGGGGTACATACAGCAGAGGTCAGCGCTCCTGGAGGAAATGACAGCTTTGAAGGAATCATATTCCTTCTGAGCTCACTCCCCTCCCGAAATCTGTCTTCCCCAGGCTCCACCCCCAAATCTCCAGGGATTTCCCAAACCTGAATACACCACCGACAGGGAGGCCGAACTAGCAAATCACAAATGCCCACAACCCGTGCCCACCAGTAGGCATGCCAACCTCCCAGTGGGGCCTGGGGATCCCCCGGAATTCCAGCTCATCTCCAGACTAGAGAGATCAGTTCCCCTGGAGGAAATGGCTGCTTTGGAGGGGGGACTCTGTGGCCTTGTGCCCTGCTGTGGATTTGTGGATGGCGCCTGCAGAGGGCAGAGACCTCAGTGTGTGGGGGGGTACGATGCCACAGAGTCCCCCCTCCAAAGCGGCCATTTTCTCCAGGGGAACTGATCTCTGTAGTCTGGAGATGAGCTGGAATTCCGTGGGATCCCCAGGCCCCACCTGAAGGCTGGCATCCCTGGAACTCAGTGAGACACAAGGCCACAGAGGCCCCCCCCCCCCCAAACGACACCATTTTCCCGGTCCACCCTCCAAAGCAGCCGTTTTCTCCAGGGGAACTGATCTCTGCAGAGGAGCTGGAATTCTGGGGGATCCCCAGGCCCCACCTGGAGGCGGGCAACCCTATCAGCAGCTCTATCTCTAGCGTAGAAACGCCCTCCTGGAATAATCTGGTCGTGCCTGTCTGGCTGCAGAACCTTTCGGGTTTCTGCACACCGGATCCGTCGAACAGCACAGCCAGCAGCAGCCAGGGCGCTGAAACCGGATCGCATGGCTGTCTTGGGACAGAACAGGAGGGGAGACACCCCCCCCCACCGGCCCCCTCCTGATCGCCGTGGTTACCAAACACAAGACCTCGGGGAGGAAACACGTCCCCCCCACCCACCCCGTGCAGTGACATCACCAGCAGCCAATCCGGCCCCTGCAGCTGTTTCATAACTTTAGAGGCCGGAACCAGGAACCAGCTGCTGAGGACATAGGCCCGGCCTGCCCTGGCAGAAACAAAGTCCACTGCAGGGGGCGGGAGCCTGGCTTAGAGAAAGGGGAGGAGGAGGAGGCCAAAGAGGGGAGCGGACTTACAGGGGGACCAGGAGAGCTCGCTACACCGTGGGGGACACCAGCCACTCGCTTTGGGGCGGTATCAAAGCCCCCCTCCCCAGGGGGGAAAGGAGGCTGCAGGTGGGAGAACCCTTCCCCGAACTGCTTCCTCATCTCCTCCCCCGGCGTCGGGGAGGAGAGCGGTTAAGACACTGAACTGCAGACCAGAAGATCGGTAGCTTGGCAGTCCGAGACCTGAGTGTGCCGCGTGACGGAGTGAGCTCCCGTCTCTGGCCCCAGCTCCTGCCAGCCTAGCGGTTCAAAAGCAAGAAACTGCAAGTAGTTAAAGAGGTACCGCTTCGGTGGGGAAGGGAACAGCGCTCCGTGCGCCTCGGCGTTGAGTCATGCCAGCCACATGACCACGGAAACGTCTTCGGACAGCGCTGGCTCTTCGGCTTGGAAACAGAGAGGAGCACCGCCCCCTAGAGTCGGATTCGACTGGCTTTCGAGCGAGGGAAACCTTTACCTCTACCTCAATACTTCTGCACCAGCAAGTGATCCACATAACAATAACACTGCGGCGCAGCCATTGGTGGTGGTGGGAAGTGTCGTCAAGCAGCGGCCAACTTATGGTGACTGGGTAAGGGTCTGCAAGGCAAGAGGTGAACAGAGGTGGTTGGCCGTTGCCCGCCTCTGCGTCGCGGCTTCGGACTTCCCTCGGCGGTCTCCCATCCAAGCACTGAGCAGGGTTGACGCCGTTGAGCTCCTGAGATCTGACGAGACTGGTCTAGCCTGGGCCATCAGAGTCAATTCAGAGGTGGCTTGTCGTCGCCTTCCTCTGCCCAGCAACCCTGGACTTCCCTCGCGGCCTCACGTATTAACCAGGGGCGACCCCGCTCAGCAGCCAAGATCTGATGATACTGGGCCAACATAGGGCATCAAAGTTGAGGCGAGAGACGAACAGAGGTGGTTTGCCACTGCCTGCCTCTGCGTAGCAACCCTGGGCTTCCTTGGTGGTTCCCCCATCCAAATACCAACCGGGGCTGACCCTGCTTAGCTTCTGAGCTCTGATGAGATTGGGCTTGCGCTGGGCCATCAAAGTTGAGGCGAGAGACCAACAGAGGTGGTTTGCCACTGCCTGCCTCTGCGTAGCAACCCTGGGCTTCCTTGGCGGTTCCCCCATCCAAATACCAACCAGGGCTGAGTCTGACCCTGCTTAGCTTCTGAGCTCTGACAAGACTGGTCTAGCGCTGGGCCATCAGAGTCAAGGGAAGGGACGAACTGAGGTGGTGTGCCCTTGCCTGTCTCTGCGTAGCGACCCTGGGCTTCCTCGGGGGTCTCCCATCCAAGGACTAACCAGGGCCGACCCTGCTTAGCTTCTGAGATCTGACGAGATCAGGCCAGCCCGGCCATCCATCTCAGGGCCAGCGACTAGGAGAGCAAAATGGAACCCGAAGACAGAGCCGCGGCTTGGCACGTGGCCGCGGGCCTGGCGTTCTGTTCAGCAGCCGTGGCCTCCGGGGCCTTTGACGGCGTTCATACTGAAGTTGGGTACGAGCACTATGCCGAACCCCGCGTGGCAGGGTGGCCCGCTGCAGTAGCCATGCCTGCCAACTGTTTAGTCAATGTGACCTACGTCCTTCTGGGCTGGCACTGGCTGTCTTCTGCAGGCCGCCGGAGAGGGCGGGCACGCTACCTCCAGGAAGTCTTTGCCCTGATGGCCCTGGTCTACGGGCCCGTGCAATGGCTCCGCCTCTGGACACAGGCTCACCGGGCGGCCGTCTTAGACCAGTGGCTGACCTTGCCGATTTTCGCTTGGGCTGCCGTCTGGTGCCACTTCCTTGAGCACGGGTGGCAGCCGGGCACCTTCCTCGCGACGGAGGCGGCTTCGCTGGCCAGTTACGGCTTGGCCCTGCTTCACCCCCAAGGGTTCGAGCTGGCTCTGGGCGGGCACATCCTCGCAGTTGTTTGGAAAGTATTCCGGGCGCAACGGCATTTGGGCGATGGCACATCGGCGGGCATCGTGGCGCTGGGAATGGCCTCTTGCTTGGGTTTCGTGTGCCTCAAGCTGTGGGATCTGGAGCTGGCCCGGTGGGCTCCCTTCCATCGGCTCACCGGCCACTTTTGGTCCAAGATCTGCGACGTCCTGCAGTTCCACTGCGCTTTCCTCTTCTGCGTTAGGCTGGGCTCACTCCGATCTCAGTGAACCGGTCCCACGGCTCTTCACGAGCCAGAGGACAGGAGCGAATGACGTCGACGACAAAGGGGACATGAATTTCGTTGGGCCAGAGCGTGAGAGAAAACTGCCGTGGCTCCTCCATGTCTACGGAAGGGCAGTCAGGGAGTCAAGTGTGGGTGAGGGGGGTGCTGGGCACAGACTCTCCCGCTTGCTTTCCTGCCCCAGCCTCGGATCCTACTTAAGAGCGTGAGAGAAAACTGCCGTGGCTCCTCCATGTCTACGGAAGGGCAGTCAGGGAGTCAAGTGTGGGTGAGGGGGGTGCTGGGCACAGACTCTCCCGCTTGCTTTCCTGCCCCAGCCTCGGATCCTACTTAGAGATGTGAAGGCCCGGAAAAATTTGGAAAAAACTGTTTTTTTCCCGTTTTTTTCCTGAAGCCTTGTTTTTTCCCGAAAAATTGGAAAAATTGAAAAAGGAAAAGAAAAAAACTTGATTATGAAACATTTTATTTTAACATGATGAATAAAATATTTTAAGACTAGGTGTTCAAATATTTTCCAAATCATTTCTAATATATATATATATGGTATCAGATTGATGTGATTTCTGTGCACTGAGGACAAGCAAGTCCTAGGTTACAAACTGAACTCTCCAATGCAAGAACAAGATGCATTTCTTCCTTTAGGAGGTGCGATTGTCAGAAGAAAATAAGTTTCAGTTTTGTTTTTGCATGTGGGTGGGTATTCTGTAATAATTGTTTGGATACACTATATTTTTAATATGCGAGTTGTGATAATTTCATGCCAAGTCAAAATGTCCATAGTCATATTTTATGTTCCTAAAGTAACAGAATGACTTTCAAACTAGAAAAGACAAATAAAATGCTAATGTAGCATTTTTTTCAATTTTTCCGAAAATTTCCGTTTCCCCCCGGAAAAAAAACGGGTTTTTTTCCGAGCTTCAAAATTTCTGGAAATTTTACATCTCTAGACTGGCCCTTGTTTTCATCTATGTTCTGCACTGTAATGGTTTTGTATCTTAGGATGCTTGGCCTGCTGGTTTTACTTTGCAAAACACCACCTCCCCCACTCCTTCTGTTTGTGCATGTAGCGTGCATGTATGTACACATGCCAACTAAATATAATACTCCATGCATCTGATAAAGTGGGTTCCAGCTCGTGAAAACGTATGCCATAACAAAAATTGTTTTTTCTTTCCAGGTGCCACAAGATTGTTGTTTTTGCTTCATGGATAGCATGTCTGAATACCTTCTTGCAGTTCCTCTGTTACTGCCCATAATTTTAATTTTAAATAGCAATTTCCTACACGGGGTTGTATTGTGTCGATTTATACCAAGTGCTTTTATATAAAATACTTTACAGCAATGCAGACACACTAGGTTCCTTCTAGCTAAAATAATGTAACATTTGTTAGCTGGAGTCCCCATTCATAAATATGGAAGGGAAAGAACTGGGGTAAAATGTTTTCGAAAGAGATATGAAACAAACCACAATAAGCAAATAATCATACATGACTTAGCTGCTACTAAAACCTGAACTGCTGGAGTATTTTTCTGAAAAGCTGCTCAAATCATCACAGAGTCTCCCACCTGGAAGTGTGGCTAAGGCACTGATCTAATTAAGTAAAAGACAGTTACACGCCTCCAACTCAGGGTTATATCTTCAGCTCCCTGCCCGCCCCCCTGCAGCTTGCTTCCTGTGTTCTTTGTCAAAGGGCTTCTGGCTCTTCTGTGCTAGAGGAGTTAGAGCCAGCCAAGTGTGCAACCTGATTGAATAACCGGTAACATCTGATTTCTGTCATTAATTGTATAACAAAATTATTGTTCCTTTGATTGGGGATTGAAAGAGAGGCGTGGAAATTACAGCTTTTTAACACTACCTGGAAGAATCTGATTCTGAACATCATGATTTGTCAGATTCTGTTTAAAACCTGAAGGATCAAAAGGTTATTTTGGTCTGAAAGAACAGAATGATGTAAGTCCCTATGAGTCCCCATTAGAGAGAAAGGTGTGGTATAAATAAAGTAAGTTAATAAAATATGGAAAATGTGGAATTTCCTTACACATCTGATGCTGTCAGCTGCAAATCTAGAAGATCTTCCTAGGATTCACTGGTTTGTGAATTGTTGTAAAATCTCTCCTTCCGGTCCTTGGCAAGTATAATTGGAAACAAGCTGTCTCCAGTACCAGCAAATCACATGTTTGGTTCAGCATTATCTTCATGTACATTACAACTTGGGTTTAGCTACTTTAATTCTTTATTCTATTAGAAAGAAAAGGCAGTCTCACCAGCCAACTCAAAATCTAAGATTTCAATCCACCAAATAAATTTTGCTCTCTGGCTAATCAGAAACCGGGGGAGAGGGAACTGGAAGGTGCTATTGTAATGTGAATACAGCCAGCGTGGCCTGCTTCTTCTTTGCTTTGAGGAGACAACATGAACGGAAGATCTTAGCAGTCATCTTGAGAAAAAAGGACCTTATACTGCAATTCAAGTAAAGGTCTGAACCCTGACTGGATTTACACAACCTTGAGCAGGTCTCTGGAGGCAGCATATAAAATTTCTAAATAAATAATAATAAATTAAATATTGACAGTCAGTTGGTGATCTAAAGTGTTGAACTAATCTGCTTGTTACATTTTTGCATTTTTGTTTCTGCTTTTTACCTTTTAAAAAATCATATGTATATTTCTGGTTTTGTTTTTTAATATGTTTTTGAATACAAAATTGTGCCTATGGATTACCATTCAAATAAGGTGTGCTGGTCAACTAAGACAAATCAGCTGGTGACAAACATTTTTTTAGTTTAAGGAATGGGGAAAATTTTAGCCCTGGGGTGCAGGAAAATTACTTTGTGTGTTCCCAGAAATGGTGGAACGTCCTTCCCTTCCTCCATTTCATCAAGTCACCAGATAGTACGATTTACAGAACTAACTCTTCTGTTGCAGTAGTCTCTTTATATCATAAGATAATTTAAACCACTATTTCCAGGCTCATCATATTAACACCTCGTTAGTACCAGCTGTACAAAGTCTAAGGAGAGAGACAGACAGCAGTAACTACAATGGCCCATGTTGCAATCACCAAAATAATAGCAGTAATTGGCAAAAGAAAACAGTTTTTAAAGCATTAAACACAATGTAACCGCATTTGCTGCTTTCATCCTTTGCTACTGCTTGACTCACTCTCTTCTTCCACACCCTGTTGCCTGAATTTAGTTTGCACTGGATCCATATTTTGCTTCTGTTACTCTGTGAATTTATTTATTTATTATTAACATTTTTACCCCGCCCTCCCTGCGAACGGACTCTATGCACTATGCACCCTGAAAATGCTACATAAACGAAGGAATAAGTAAACTGCTATCAATCAAGGTTCATGAATCTCCATGCTCAGGGTCTCATTAAAGCTTCGATAGCTAAAAACATGCAACAGAACTCAAAACATCATTAGTATGCTTTCCTGCAAGGGCACAGGGTAGCCAGTTAAGATGAGCCATTAGGGGAGGCTGGACTAGATGGACCCTCCCTGGTCTGATCCAGCAGGGCTCTCATGATGTTCTGAACCCTGTGTATAAGCAAGACAGGCTGACTGAACTCCAGTCAACTTTTCAAGTATAAAAAGGCGTGATACTGGCAAACAGCAAATCACCCCCCAGCCAGGTTACAAATATATAAAAGATTTTATTTATTGTACCCATCCATGAAAGAGCCATATGTAGTGAGGAGACTGCGTGAAGAAGGCTGTAAGGTTACAAGAATCTAAGAAAATTCGAACACCACGACCGCCCTCTCCCCAGGAGAATCCAGTCTTGACTTTTTACCCCTGACCAAAGGAGCCTGTCAGCCGGTCTTGGCTGCACCGCCGATTGGATCAGAAATCCCACCGGGAACAGGGGTGTGCCAACGGTGCCTGCTAAGCGATGCCTACGCACGACGCCGAAAAGAGGGATGGGGTCTCCGGAGTCAGGAAAGTGCCACCAGCGCCATGAGAACTTTATTCCTTCAATTTCTGTGCGTCTGCTTCAGACCTCGAACTCGTCGCTCTCTTCGGGCTCACGAGAGGTCCCTGCAGTGTGCTCTGTTGAGAGAGAGAGAGAGAGAGAGTCTTATCCTCCGTGTTCCGTCCCACCATGGAGCGACGCCCACCCAGCCGTGTGCCACGGTCCTTTTAAGACCCGCCCCAGAGTTAAAACAAGCCACGGTGGCCCAGGGGCAGGAAGCTACACAGCTGTAACCAGGCCGGTGATTTTGTGGCTTGTGGGGCAGGTTTTTTCCCCTGTGGGGCTGAAGTTCTCAGGGCAGAAAGAAAAGCCATTCAGCCAATAGAAAGCTGTTACCGGGACAGATCTCTAACCTGCAAACTGTCGACCACTTTAGATGACAGTTCTCAGCTGCTGCAAGTTAATCACTTCTGCCAGCCCAAGCAACCATTATGAGAACAAGCCGACAGGTGGGGGGTGAGGACTTCTGTAGTCAAGAAAGCTAACACGTAGGCAGAAACACTCTCTTAAAGGAGACCGGTTTCTGGATGCAGAGTTAGAAGGTATCCTAGAGGTCACCTACTCCAACCCCCTTGCTCAGTGCGGGGATTAGTCAACTACAGCACCCCACTCTGCTTAAAGGAGCATAATTTTTGTGGGGCTGTGCCTTTAAGGAAGGGGGTGGAGCCCCCCAAATCCCCCCCCCCAGCTACGGGCCTGGGTGTAACCATGCTCTGTAGTAGGGGCCCCCAACATGGTACCCGCTAACACCTTTCCTGGCGCCCACCGAGTGCTTTTAGAAAATGGGTGGATCCTGGTGAAGCTTTTGCCCAGCAAGGCTTCTGATTGGCTGTGCCACCACAGCACGAGGACCTTCACTGTGTGATTAAAGGGAAGCCGCAGCCGCCATTTTGTGGCTGCCCCCCCCCCCCCCCCTGGCCAGGACTGCAAAAGGGCCCACC